ACTTAACTATTTAACTATTAAAAATAGCAATCTCTTATGGTTCAAACTAGTGTTTTCCTATTTATTATCTGAAAGGCAGAATAATGTTTATCATGTGGATATGCTGCTGTTTTCTTAATCAGTACCTGTTATTAGTAACCAGAACCTATCATTCCCCTGTTCATGTTAGCACAGATTGCATGAACAAAAGAACAGGCTTAAAAACTAGCTTCTCGTAAATATTTGAACATATTTACATTATAGTTTTATATGAAGAATTTGTCAAATAAGAACTTCAGCACAATTTGCAGTGAAAATAAAGCTAGCCACTGGGATGCTTAATTAATGGAACAGCTCAATGCTGTCTGCCCAACAAATCAGGAAATATTTTGCTCTCCTCTCCTGGAATAGCTATTATAAGGTATATAAACTAGATTCAGGGTTAGCCCTAGTTTGTTTGTTTGCACATACATGAGAGAGAGAGAGAGAACGTGTGTGTGTGCCTGTGTGTGTGTGTGTGTGTGTGTGTGTGTGTGTAGAACTGGCTTTAAGATTACACTATAAAACCAAGGTTTATTTCTTCATTCCAACTTTTAAAAGCTTGACTCTGGTCAACTTTTCTCATCTTTGGAGACTTCAGCAAGGCACACTGCTTTCCAGAAGCATAGGCAAGTAAACCTGCTACTTCTCTAGCTCTCAGGTTTGGTCTCTTCCATTAGGTGTCAACAACCAAGAAGGCCACCAGGGGACGGGCTTTACTCCACAAACCCAAAGCAGGAGGAAACTGGCAGCTCCCTTTCCGCCGCTGAATGTCAGAGCCCAGCTCCCCCTACCCAGGCAGCCCGGCTACCACCTGCCCAAAGAAAGCCCCAACCCCAGGTCCCAAGCAGGCCTCTCCAGGCCTTTACAAGTCAGTGCTCTTGCCTCTGCCAAAACATCTGGGACTCCCTTTCTGTTGCTTCTTCCTTGAAAAGATGCGGTGAAGTTGAAGCAATGTATCATAACATACATCTTGGGAATTTTTGATAACAGGCCCTAAAACACCTAAAGGAAAAAAGCTCCCTAAGTTCCTCCTGTCTTGCTGTGCTTGTTTATAAATCAGAAGCCATTTTAAAATACTGTCCAGACTTGAGTAAATCAAGCCAATGGTTTCGTTTCATCCATTCTCTTACATAAGTAGATGGTGGTTTTTTTTTTTTTTTTTCAGGAGGGGCAAACTTCAAATTATTCTTGGGCCCACTCTACATCCCATAAAAAGAAACTTGACCAGATAGTTTCCATTAAAAAGGCAATTTCCAATCCATGCTATGATCCACAGCCGTTCGAATGGGATCTTTAACTCCTTCAGGTAACTATGTGGGGGTTTTCTGATAACTGTTTTGAAACAGTAAAAGGTCAGTGCAACCTGAAACTTTTCCTATGTAATTTTTGTCTATATCTAAGTGACCGTGCAGAAGTAGCAAGTTTGCTTTCCCATGCTCCTGAAAAAGTGTGCCTTGCTGAAGTCTCCAAAGATGAGAAAAGCTGATCAGAGTCAAGCTTTTAAAAGCACTTTGGAGACAGGGTTTCACCAATGAGGAAATAAACCTGGTTTTATAGTGTAATCTTAAAATTGGTTCTACATCACACACACACACACACACACACACACACACACACACACACACACACATGCATGCACACACGCACTTGTGCTAATGCACAGAGAGGGCTAATGCCTGAAGTCTGGGGTAGGAAGTATAGCCAGGTCCAGCAGGGCTATTACAGATATCCCTTCCCTCTCATGAATTCAGTTCATCAACAGCTGTTCACGAAGTCCCACTTGGCAATCCACAGTGGTGATGCCCCTAAATCCAAGACCACTGGGAACTCACCTGAAGTCAAACAAATTTATGCTCATTGATTTTGGCTTAACAAGGGAGACTGTCCACTATGTGAAACCATGGGCTGGCTCAGTAAGAGGGTGTTAGATGGGGCTTTTCATAAGCTTTGAGCTTGTGTCAGGCAATTTGGGGTAGGATTCAAGGAAGTACGAGTTTTCTGTGAATTGGGTGTTGTCAGCAAGTGGAATAATTCTATGATTCAGTCTCTTAATAAACCTTAATTATCTAGGAGACAGAAAGAATGGAAAGACTCAGACATGATGGCAGAGAGCGCACTTGGTTTTTTCCCACTTTATTAGAATCCCCTGGTCTGACACTGATGCTCCCTGAAAGTGTTAATGAGCAGACAGAAAAATTGAGGACCAGCTCTGAGTGCCTAGCTGTTAGTGCCAACCTGCCAGAAATCAGACAAATAAATCTCCGGCTCTGATCCAATGGTATTTTGTGTGTCACTGACAGAAATAACTAAGAAGAGGGCTCTATCTTGAGTACATGGGGAAGCTTCCTGGAGAAGGACAGAGTCAGCCAGGAGGAAGGGAGGAAGGGTCCTTGCCAGCAGGAAGAAGAGAGTAACAGGCCCTAAAACACCGGAAGGAAAAAAGCTCCCTAAGTTCATGATCTCAGCTCTTTCTGGACAACAAATTTGGAGGAAGAGGGGAGAAAAGGGAGTTAGCACGAGTTTTGAGAAAAAGAGGTAGGCAGGACACAGACCACAAAGCCACGCCTTGCAAACCTTGGTAAGAAGCTTGAACTTTATGGGGAAGGAAATGGGAAAGTGTTTTGAGCAGGACTGCAACAGGATCAGTCTTGTTGTTAAATGATCATTCTGGCTGCCATGCAGAAGGTAGAATAGGGAACAGCAGATCTGGAAGAAAAAGTGTAAACAGTTCACACTAGCCCTAAAGGGCTGATGATGATGGTCACCAGCAGGAATTAGGAGGAAGCCTGGTATCCAGGCATGGTGGCACATGGCTGTAATCCCAGCACTTTGAGAGGCCAAGGCAGGAGGATCACTTGAGCCTACGAGTTCAGACCAGCCTGAGCAACATAGTGAGATTCCCATCTCTACAAAAAAAAATTTAAAAATCAGTCAGGCATGTTGGTGCATGCCTGTAGTCCCAGCTTCTCATGAGGCTGAGGTCGGAGGATTGCTGGAGCCCAGAAATTGGAGGCTGCAGTGAGCTATGATGGTTCCACTGCACTGCACCTTGATGAGCTGTGATCACACCATGACTCTTCAGCCTAGGTGACAGAGTGAGACCCTGATTCTAAAAAAGAGAGAGAGAGAGAAAGCCCAGGGCTTGGCCCACTCCCATCACTGGGAGTAAAGAGAGGGCTCTGTGCACTTCTAGCAAAACCTCCATGTTCCTTGCCCCTGCCACTTACACCCTGATCCCACAAGCTAGGAGACTCTCAGTCGGGGCCTCTCCCTCAGGGCACCCTTCCTTCCCATACTGCAATTCCAACAAGGCATCCTGGGCCCTGAAGGACATTCCCGTCCATGCCCCTTGGAGAACACACCCCAGCCCACTCCCCTGCTGCATTTTTCTCCATGGCATCTAATACCCCCTGGTATACTTTAGATAGTATGCGTCTGCCTGCCTTCCTCACTGGAACCTAAGCTCTGTATGAGAAATATTTTTGTCTACTTACTCCTATGACCTCCAATACCTAGAATAGCATGTGAGACAGAATTAGGCCTTCGATAAATATTTCTTTAATAATTTTGAATAAGAAATGGAATTAAGCCAGACAGTGGCAAACGTAATCAAAAGCAGAGAGGGGATTCTACACTGAGGTTTCAAGCAAGTGGAAGAAGTCAGGTCTCCTTCAGCACCTAAAAATCTTACATTTAGAAGGAAACAGGGTGGGTAAGGGAGGTGAGGGGCCCATGCTGTTAGAGCTGGGAAACTCTCCCACCTTTGACACAGTGGCCAATAGTGTGACGCTGCAAGGGAATGCACAAAGAGGGTGTCAAGACTTCAACAGGGGCAGTTAACCCTCCAAGGCTAAAATCTGATTGTGTGGTCATGGTGGTCCTATGTGGTTGGCCATAAGAGAGCTCAGATGGACTGCTCCATATGTTTATATGCTTTCCAGACTCTGATACATTCATTAAGCCCCAAAGTCCCTTTTGAGGTCTCCCTCCTCATTGTCCAACCACCCAGATAGCAAGAATGCAGGCTGTGGGGAAGCATGAGTGGGTGAGAAGTTAGAAAGTTGCACATGTACCTCTCAAGTTCTGTTCTATGGAAAGGCTTTCATCCGTGGCCATTTCACCTTGCAATGTTAGCAAGGTGCGGGGCAGGAGCTCCAGTAACTCAGAGAGGCGCCAAGGAAGTGGGGACAGTTTAATGTCAGGAAGCACAGCCTGACAGCAGTGCAATCATAGGACTGTGATAGTGACCATTGCTACGATGCCCCTGTGTTTTTAGCAGTTCCACAATACCAGGAGCCCCTGCAGTTTCAAACTCAGCTTATGGCAAGAAGAAATGAGAGAACTAGAATCGCCTCCCTCTATCCTCTACTCAGTCTTGATCACACTGCATATTCTCACTGCCTTGACTTTTTGGAAAGGGAGAAATCAAGATGGTGAGCAAAGAAGAGGACTTATGAAATGAAAGAAAAGGGCAAAGTATAGGTGAGCAACCGAAAGCAGGTGAAACCCGCAAACTAGTTTGCTCATGCTCAGAAGTAGCATTTTCCACCAAAGTGGAAAATGAGGACACTGGCCCCTTTCCCACCCTGCCCCACTGCACCAGGGTCCCTAGTTTTCTTCCATTTGTCTCAGTACTAGTCAATTTACAAACTGAGGCTGCCTGAATAAAAATGTTTGGATTCTCAGCACACGTTTTCAACCACAGAACTGTCAGCCACCACCACACAATTTTATCACTGACAGGTCAACTGAACTGAAGCTTACAGTAGACTAGCCTAGCAAAGCACTTCTGAAAACAGTGCACTGTGACTTTTTAAACATCAATTACCAATTGTCAAGACAGGTTGGCAAATGTCTTAAGCCATGTCCCTCATAAGACTATAGAAGCAAGACGCATATTTCAATCAGGGCCATGGTGTTGTTTTTGTTACTGTCACTCGTGCCTAAAACTCCATTTCCTGTCTGTTTTCTAGCTGGAAGGTAAAGCAACCATGAGCAAAGCTATCGGAAACTTCAGTTACCAAAAACAGGACAGGATGTGAAACTTCACACCAAGTGTCATGTGGCAGGATGGGGAAGCATGAAAAGAGACTCATAAAAGTTTTGAATACACCTTAACAGAAGTGAACAAACGTCGCTATGATACACCAAAAAATACGCAATGATGCAGCGCACTATAATTCCAAGCTGATTCTTGAAAACTGCACGATCTGTGCTGGGGGTAGAAAGGTGAAGATGGGGGTCAGTGGATGATCTTGAGCCCTCAGGAACAAGATGGCGGTTGTCTGGAGACTGAGTGACTTTGCGGGGCCCAAGGAGGCCGAGTTCTGTGGCTGTGGACACCAGTGGTCAGATCTGCTCATATCTCAGCATATCTTCAGGACGCACCTACCCCAGAAGGTGACAAGTGAATGTGCTGCACACCACTTGTCACTGAGCCACCATTCTGGTTCCAAGGCTGCGTCTCTCCACTGGACTAGTGAGAGGTTTGTCAGTGTTTTGCTCCTGGGTCTGCTTCCGGCTGCTTACTTGAATCCGTGCTCTGCATGGACTGCAACCCTCACTCTTCATAGTCACTGGGGCCGTGGACAAGTTGTTACTACGTTCATGGGTATGCCTCGCAGAAAGCTGCCAAGGCAGGGCTTTTGGCACTTTCAGCTTTAACTTTGCTGGGCTTTGCTATTTCAACTACCACAATGCGAGCTCTGACCTTTTTGACTTTATACTTTGAAGAACTGATGTATGCCTCTTTGCTTCTGCCTTGTCATGCCATTCAACTCACAATAAGGAAGAAATAACAGATAAGTCCATTGGTGGACAGCCTTCTCTTAATCACAAGATTATTTTCGAATTTAATTTTTTTTTTTTTTTTTGAGAAGGAGTCTCCCTCTGTCTCCAGGCTGGAGTGCAGTGGCGTGATCTTGGCTCACTGAACCTCCAATTCTCTGGTTCAAATGATTCTCCTGCCCCAGAATTTAATCTCTGAGGAAAAGGGTTGAGAGGAATTATGTCTAAGAAACTGAGACTGAGTTCTGTATTCTGGTAAGTTAATGGGGTTGCCTCCCAGCTTCTCATAGGACTCACGGTATAACTAAACATGATATATGAGCTTTTGCCTTTTAATTTATCAATCTCTAAAGAGAATCCAGCTTTATAACTATTAATATATGACCAAACTTCTGTATTTGCCCTGGGAATAATGGACAAAGGGAAATATTGTTAATTCATTAATAAAAACTTTGCAGAAAATTAGACAGTGTTTAGTTTTTGAAAACTTCCCTTTCTATTCAGTAGACACCACCTACTGAATATACATATACTAGGGAATTTTAAAATTAGGAAATGCTGATGTCTCACATTATGAATTTCTAAATCCTAGGAGGAAAAGCTTGGAGTGCTTCTGAATGTACAGAAGTTCCATTTAAGGGCAAGTTTCCCCTTGTAGACATATCAAAATAATACAAATTCTAAACAGAGACTTAATTTTCAAATGTATTCTACTTGTTCTAAAACAATCTGTCCACAAATATAAAACTATAAATAATAAAATGTTATTTTCGTACTATGGGAATATCTAATGTGAAAATGTATTCTATGAAAATAATTTTTTTTAAAAATAAAGTGTTGTATAATTTAAAAAAGAAAACGTGAAGGTGATTCATGGGAATAAGTAAATTAACATTTTTTTCTTTTATAATTGAGATTTTATTGGTCAAGGATCAGTACAAACATTTCAATTTGTACACAATTCTTAACATACATACCAGAAATCTAAAAGGCCATGTATTGTAATTCTTTTCTAAAGTTATTCCAGTGACTTTCCAGCTTAAAATTTGGAAGCAACTTTTTCTTAAGAGGCGATCAAGTACCAGTATCTCCACATGTTGATAAGCTGTTATGTACATCCCACCAATTCACAACTGAATAGTTTATACGCTGCATATTCACACGTGTGGCACCTCCCCACCACGTCGCTCTTGCTCTCACTGTGTGATGTGTCTGCTCCCAATTCACCTTCCACCATGAGTAAAAGCTCCCTGAGGCCTCCCCAGAAGCCTAGCTGATGCTGAGGCCATGCGTGTACATCCTGCAGAACTAGGAGTCAATTAAGTCTCTTTTTTTTGTAAATTTCCCAGTCTCAGGAATCTCTTTATAGCAATGCAAGAATGACCTAATACAGGCTGAAATTGCTTGGCCATATGGAAACCCTATGCTTAAGCTTCTGAGGAAGTGCGCTGTTGTCCACAGTGATTACACCACTTTACATCCCTACCAGCAGTGTATGAGGGCTTTAGTTTCTTCATATCCTCTTCAACACTCATTATTGTCTGGTTTTTGATGATAGCCATCCTAGGAGGTATGAAGTGGAAGGATGGACAATTCCTGACTTCAAATTCTGGGACCATTTCATTTTAGACCCTATGTGTTACTATTCTCAGTTAACAGGTGTGAAAATTGAGGCACAGACTAATTCTCTGCTGGAGATCTTAAATGTTTTAGTGATGGAGCCAGTGTCTGTCTTGTAGACCAATGATCTTTCTACCAGGCTGTTGTGAAGTCTGTGGCCATTCTAATCAGAAATCCAGAATTTGAATAAGTCTGTCTAAATATAGGGCTGATCTCAGGGGCTAATTGGGGTGGCCACTGGGAGTATGAAATATTATCTTTTCTCCAATTACCTTCTTAATGTGGTATACCCTTATTCTGCTACCTGTTATCAGAATGTGAAGTAGGTGTCTTTATATCTGTGGTGTTCTTCTTGTCTTCTGCTAGATTTCAAATACTTCAAGGGCAGCAATCATGCCCTGGTTCCCTCAGTACTTACAGTGCTGTGCACGCTGCCTGGCACATGGAGAGCCCTCAATAATTTTTGATGAATTAAATTGGACAAATCAGTCAGATGCACTAGAGAGTGACTTTATTATAATTCAGCTCTTCAGAGAAAAAGATGAGATATAAATGGTAGATGGTAAAAGAAGCCATTTTTCTTTGCTATATATCACAATTTATTAATAATAGAACTAAGTTAAGTGCTTGGATGTATAAATTGGCTAGCTAAGGTAAAATGCACATCAACATCCTGGCTGAACTGAGGCCTACTGGCATTTGATACTTTAGTCCACTTATAATTAATAAATGATGCAATTGTCCTGAACTGTTCCTAGCCTCAAACTTCAAATTTTCCAAATATCTGAAATACACACTAAATCTTTCTCATTATGTTTATTATTGAATTTTTTTGTGAAAAATTAAAATATATAGAAGTATATGGTGAGAAGTAAAAACCCCCCTTCACCTCTCCCCATATTCCTACACTGAACAGAACACTGAGCTCTAAATTCTAAGGGCCACAGATATTTTGGTATTCTGTTTGGCAGAGTAAAGGATATTCTGGCCTTTCCTGGAATGACCTTCTTTTAACAGGAAACACAGAAGTAGCCATCCTCAAATTCTGAACAAAGCAAAGGGTCAGTGAACCAAGAAATTTTTTCTCAAGGGATATCTTTTGCCACGAGTAGATAATAAGTGTTATGATTCAGTCTCAGCTAATCATATAAGAGTGGAAGCTCTCACTGGTGATTTCTTTTCAGACAGGCCACCATTTGTACACAAGGTACAATGCCACACACTTGTAAATGACAAGCACACAAACATGATTTTCTCTTCTCATCTAAAAAAAAACTTCTCTCTCCAGGCATTTCCCCATTTCTCTGCTTTTCTTTAAATCAGAACTCCTCAAATGAGATGTCTTCACTCAGATTTTCTCCTGTTCTCTTCAATTCTAATATGGCTTTTGCCCCATGCTCTAGGAAATGACTCTTGCAAAGACCTCCACCTTGGTACCTTGATAGCCTTGTGAAATCCAATAGTGCGTTCTCGTCCCTTTTCGCTCACCTTCTCAGTGGCATGTGACACCAGTGGGCTCTCTTTTTCTTGGTGGCACTGGCTTCACTGATTTCCAAAACACGACAGTCTCCTGGCTCTGCTTCTACCTCATAGGTCTCTCCTCCTCAGTGGCCATTGCTGGTTGCTCCTCTTCTCCTCCACTCACTAGCTGGGGTGGCCCTCCAATCGGTCCTGGGAAACTCTTCTCCATCTGCACAGGCTCCCTTCCCAGTGGGGGCTAGGCTCTCTGACTCTATAGACAGTACACCATCTACATGCTGATAATTCCCAGTCCGTGTTTGCAGCTCAGGCATCTCCCTAACTCCAGCCACCTCACTCTACAGCGCTGTTCGCATGTCTAGCAGACATCTCAGACACAACCATTCAAGCGGTCCTCTCGATCTTCCCCTCCACACCTGCTTCAGCTCTGGATGTCCCCATTTTACTTTACGGCAAGTCCACCTTCCCAGTAGCTCAGAACAAAAATTCTGAAGTCTTCTTTGACTCCTCTCTTGAACACTGCATACCCAATCTGCAAGAGATTTCTACCTGCCTTAACTTCAAAACATATCAGAATTCACCCACCTCACACTGCCCCATAGGTCCAAGCTGCCATCCTCTCCAGCCTGAATCATTGCAATTTCCTCCTAATCTTTCGACTTCCACCCTGGCTCCTGTTCATTCTTTTCCCCACAGAGTCGCCAAAGTGATCCTGTTCAAGCACACCAGATCATGTCACTCCTCCTCTCATGGCCTAGATGGCTCCTTATCTCACTCAAAGTAAGGGGCAGAGTCCATACAGTTACCCACAGCCCCTCAAAATTTTGTCCCCCACTATTTTTCTGACCTCATTTCCTTCTGTGCTTCCCTCACTCACTTCTCTCCAGCTACACTGGCCTTCCAGCCTTCTCCAGATATCTTCACGGCTAACACCCTGACCCCCTTTCAAGTCTTTGCTAAAGTGCCACCTTCTCACAATGCACACATACCCAATTCACACTCCCTACCTCCAACCATCAACATTTTTATATCATTTTCTAATATATTATATAACCTATGTATTACATCTGTAATTATTACTTAAATCTGTCTCCTCTAACTAGAATGTAAGTTCCATAAGGGCAGAGATTTCTGTCTGTTTTGCTCACTGATGTATTCCCAGTATCTAGGTGTTTAATAAATATTTTTATAAAATGAATGAATAAATTGTAACCCCCATAACTCTACCAGCCCTGAGAGTCTGTGCCTTAAGCAGGCAGTTTCCCTTCCCCTTGCACACATCTTATTTTTCAATGAATTATCACAGTGAACACACCTCCTTAACTACCATCATGTCAAGAAACAGAGAGCTACCAGAGTAGTGAGTGATACCCTTTGCTTCTTATCCTCGGCATCTAGCATTACATCAGGCATCTAACAGGCATTTAATAAATGTTTGTGTAATTAATTAATTAATATGATTCCAGCCATATTTCTCAAGAGCAGATTCATTACTCTGCTGCCTTGGAAAGAGCCTAGCAAATTCAAAATCAAATGCATGTAACAGCACACATTGCCCTTTTGGAAACCATGAATTCGCTGAACTATGCAGATTTTCCAAATGTTGACACATTTCATTACACAGTATTTTTACAGTCATATTTATTAATACTATCACCACCTCATCAGGAAAATCTTTAAGTATTGGAAAGAGAGCAAGCTTGTGATAGCAGACACATGTTTTCCAAAAATTCTTTCACTTGAAAGCTCTAATTGTATCACAGCAACAAAAATTATCAGTTACCCTCTTTAAGATATCGAATTCATTTCATTCATAGTTGAGAAAATGTTCAACAAATGTCCATGTCCGAATAATTGTCAGCATTTTTTCAGGTAAAATCAGTATTCCAAGAAAACAGACAGATCAGTTCATCGCTCAAACAACTGCACTACTGCTTTTCCTAAGACAGCCCTTGTATACCCGAAGTGCTTTATGCATATTTCACATACTTTTCATACCAAAGTGAATATTAAAAAGACTTTTACAACATGATAAAGATTATTAAAATTAAAAAAATTTTTACTGCTTCGTCAAGGACATTCTTGCATAAAACTAGGTTTTGTTTTGTTTTTTTGTTTTGAAAGTGCCTGACAATGAAGAACACGGTGACTGCCAGCACAGTTTGGTGTCACTGCTCTGATTCCTGCTAAGGCACCCAAAGTTTTACCCTTCATTGCCTTTGTACAATCAGTATAAATGTCGACACATGGTGAGGGTTGGGGGAGACTAGCAACATCTTAGTGTTGTTATGAAAACAGTTTTGATGGCCAGGCACAGTGGCTCATGCCTGTAATCCCAGCACTTTGGGAGGCCAAGGTGGGCGGATCACGAGGTCAAGAGATCAAGACCATCCTGGCCAACATGGTGAAACCCTGTATCTACTAAAAATACAAAAAAATAAGCTGGGCATGGTGGCACGTGCCTCTGGTCCCAGCTACTCAGGAGGCTGAGGCAGAAGAATCGCTTGAACCCAGGAGGCGGAGGTTGCAGTGAGCCGAGATTGCGCCACTGCACTCCAGCAAGACTCCGTCGCAAAAAAAAAAAAAATAGTTTTGACCTCACAGCTTATCTCAGGACCCCCTAGGAGTCCACAGACCATGCTTTGAGAACTACTGGTTTTCGACATTGCAACGGTTCATTCACATTAGAATAAATTAAAATTTTTCCCAAGAATGTAAAGAAATCACTGCATATATAATTTTGAACATTCTTATTTCACAGCTAATGCAATCTTGAAAAAGATTATTAGAACAGAACAAAGTTAGTAGACTCAAATCTTTTTGAAACTTTTCCGTTTCAAAAGTTTCTACAAAGCTTCAGTAATCAGGCAGTGTGGTACTGGCACAGACATATGCATATATATTATAGAACTGATAGACCAGAAATAAACTCTAACATTTAATTCTCAACAAAGGGGCCAAGGCAATTCCACAGGGAAAGAATTATCTTTTCAAAAAATAATGCCAGACAGCTGAATATTCACGTGCAAAGGAATGAAGTTGGACCCTACCTCAGCCATACACAAAAATTAACTTAAACTACATGAAAAATTTAACTAAAACAAGGGGCCTAAATGTAGAAAGAAAATAGAACTACAACAATCTTAGAAGAAAATGCAGGAGTAAATCTTTATGATCTTGGGTTAGTTCGTAATTTCTTAGACAAGACACCAAAGGGAAAAGGGATTAAAAAAATTGGTAAGTTGTACTTCATTAAAATTAGAAACTTTTGTGCTTGAAAATACACATCAAGGAAAAAAGACAACCCACATACTTGGAGAAAATATTTCCAAGTCATATGTCTTATAACAAATTCGTATCCAGAATAAATAAAGGACACTTACATCTCAATAATAAAAAGATAAATAAATCAATTTCAAAAGCAAATAATTTTAATATACATTTTGCCAAAGAAGATATATGAATGACAAGTAAGCACATGAAAAGAAACTCAACATCATTTATCATTAGTGAAATGCAAATCAAAACCACAGTGAGATATTTCACACTCACTAAAATAGTGATTTTTTAAAAATATATTGAAATGATGTAGAGAAATTAGAACCTTTGTACATTGTTGGCAGAAATATAAATTGATATAGCCACTTTGGAAAACAGTTTAGAAGTTTCTCAAAATGTTAAATATAGAGTTACCATATGATCGAGCCATTCCACTCTTAGGTATAGACCCAATTGAAATAAGAACATATGTACACATAAAGATTTGTACATAAATGTTCATAGAAACATTATTCATAATAGCTAAAAAGGACAAACAACCCAAATGTCCATCAACTGAAGAATGGATAAATAAAATGTGCTATACCCATATGATTATTTGGCAATAAAAAGGAATAAAGTATTGATACATGTTACAGTGTATCATGTAGATGAAATTCAAAAGCATTATGCAAAGAGAACGAAGTCAGTCACAAAAGACCACATAATGTATGGTTTCATTAATAAGAAATGTCCAGAATAGGAAAATCCATAGAGACAGAAAGTAGATTATAGGTTGCCTAAAGAGAGTGAATGCTAATGGATACAAGGCTTCCTCAGGGATGATGAAAATGTTCCAGAATTAGATTATGGAGTTGGCTGCACAACTCTGCAAATATTCTAAAATCCATTGACTCGTACACTATAAAAGGGTGACCTTTATAATGTACCTTTATAATGTAACCTTTATAATGTAAATTAGATCCCATAAAGTTGTTAGAAGTCAACATAAATGGAAGAACCATTCCCATAAAAACAAACAAAATTATCAATGTTTTTTTTAAGAATGTTTCAGTAGGTATAGTTAATTACAATTTAACTTTTTTAAGTCTGCACTAAAATTACTCACCAAAACTAGTAGCAGGGTACCTCATTGCTCTTACTGAAAATGATTAACCTTTAATACACTTGTAATATCTGAGAAAAAGAAACCAAGGGGTCTCAGCAATACTCCCTTCTAAGGTCATATGATTTCTAAAGAAGTAACCACTAGGTTTGAGGTCATCAGGGTGTTAACTACAGAGTAGTTGGTTCAATACCCAACATACTGACAGCACATCTGACCATATGTATTATAATGGAGACCACATCCTCAGCTCAAAAAAAGAGCTGAACTCATTTCTAATAGAAAGCACACTGCATACTGTTCCTCCAGGAACTGAGGTTGATTCTTTTTAGAGTGAGACATAACCCAACATTAGAACAAAAATGATTCCCATTTCTTTTCTCAGATGAACGTGTTCAGAAGAAAGTAAGGAAGAAAGGCAGGAAGGGAGGAGACAGGGAACTCAGAGACACTTTCAGTAAAGTTGTGAAACTAGACAATCAGAAACGTACTCTCAGAAGGCTGGAAAGGGCCAAAAGCCCCTACCCCCGCAGCCCATGTCCCCACACCTGCCACAGACCAGGCAGGAGCACAATAAACACTCCCCGCAAAGTGGAGAAGGAAAATCCAGGCTGGAGCCTCTATGTAAATAAATCTCCCTCCTGTCCTCAGCTTGCACTCGGCCTACTAATTCTTACATAACCCAAGGAGACTAGAAAGAAATTTGACCACATTGCCATGTATGCACCCATGCAACAATCCTGCATGTTCTTTACATGTACCCCAGAACCTAAAATACAACAAAATATATATATATATTTTTTTTATTGCAAAAAAAAAAGAAAAAAGAAATTTGATTGGTGACCAATTTTAAGGACTTTTTTTAAAGCTCTAATTTAAGTCTAAAAGAGTTTCCAGTCCCGGATACTGAAGATAATATTGCAGATGATGAAAGCATCCTCAAAATCTTAACAAAGACATTTTACGGTCTCCCCTGGTGTCCTCTGATGGCAACAAGGTCCCTTGCCCTGCTCCCACCCTGTATAATTCCAGTGCCCCTCTCAGCAGTCCTACAAAGGAACACGTGCCTGCTGGCAGTGAGCCATCATCCACTGTTCTCACTTACTTGTGTTTGGTTTCCTAATGCTGAACTTTGAAATTTGGAAAAAAAATAAAAGAAGAAAAAGAAAGGAAACCACATCCTTTTTACTCTCAATATAAAGATAGAGGCAGTTAAGAACTGAAAACAGATTTTCAGGTCGATTGATGTGGGACAGCAGCCACAATGAGGAACTCCTACAGATTTCTGGCATCCTCTCTCTCAGTTGTTTTTCTCCTGCTAATTCCTGGAGGTAAGACTGATTCTTCTCGTTTTTACTATGACTATGAAGCAAAATGGAACAGACTTTCAATGAATTTTTGGTAATATTACCTTCTCATACTGAAAGATGTCTTCCCCCAAGCCTTAAAATGTTTAGCCAGGCACAGTGGCACATGCCTGTAATCCCAGCTACTAGGAAGGCTGAGGTAGAAGGATCACTTGAACTCAGGAGTTTGAGACCAGGCTGGGCAACATAGTGAGACCCTGACTCTATTTAAAAACAAACAAACAAAAAAATAGCATTCTTTCTTGGATTTTAAATATTTCATTTTAGAAGAAAAACAAATTTTCTTCTTATAATCTTTTTGCAAAAGATAGTCAAACCACCAATGTTTATTGCTGTCAATTTGTAACTTGAAAGTTGACAAAAAGGACAATGTAAAAATGAGCAAACAAAACTCTCTTGAGTTAGTAAAACAAATAGTAGCTTCCAGGAGAGGAATACTGGCACCTTAGTCAGCTCAGCCTTTTCTGCTGAAGAAAATGCATAGTTTAAAAACAATTAAGACAAATCTGACCCAGACACCAAAAGTGAATCAGGAATTATTAGAATTTTTACACTTATTTCTCTGGTCTAGAGACTCTTTGGGAATACATTAAGACATTGGGCCAGTTCCCTCGTTAACCCTTTGGGAACGCTATAGTATTTTTTATTAAGCTAATCCCTTTGTCTACCAAATGGGAACCAATATTTCTGCTTTTGTGTGAGTTGCACGTGCATGGGTTAAAACGTTGTACAATTCATGGTATTACCACTGAAAGGGTGACAGCTCTTGGGGAGCTCTAGATTTCCCTTGAAGACCCTACTAGGAAGTGAGGACTACTCTGGAGCTGTGGCAATATAGAGCCAGCCATGGTTTTTCCCATGATTCATCAGCTTCTGGAGGCAGGGACTTATATAATAACCTGCCTTGCCAGGAATTCCCAAAGAACTCTGATTTATTGTGTACCTAAAAATGAGGAGAAATTTAAAAATAACAGGGCTGCAGGACAAAGGTTGGCTATGTTATAAGCAGGGCATAGTATGACTATATTCAGGCATGTTAAATCCTCCGTAGCAGAGAAAACAGGGTAGATGAATCCAGCCATACCTTTTCTTCAAAGGAAACAACAAAAGCAGCCTGCTGTGCTCCTCTTTGTTCCTGTGTTCAGGGAGAGCAGTGTGGGCCCATATAGGGAACAGACACAGCAAAGCAAGGCACAGTTGAAATCTATCTGTTCATGAATCACCCTAGGAAAACTGGGATTGGATGAAGTTCTCTTGTTTCTATAAGCGCTTTACCCTCTTATTTCCACAGCCCAGAATTTCCTCCTCCCATTTCCCTTTTTAAAAGCAGAGACGTCTGCTTTTTCAAATCACAATAGCCACATTTCATGTGGTCACTCTCCTCGTTGCTCTCGCCCTCATCAAATCTTACAAAAGGTATCTATAGCTGTCATTAATACTTTTCTGTGACTTTGGCAATGACTTAGTCCCAATTATGGAACAAGAGGCACGGTGCCCTATTTAAGAAACCATGAGTCTCAGCAAAAGTATTTTGGGAGAATCCAAGAACATCTGGTGCAGGAGGTGGAGAGCTCAGAGTGTACACTAAGACATAAGGTTCTCTCGATCAGCATGTATGATTTGCCTTGTGTTCAGTTCTCACTGTTCCCTAACAATGGGTCTCTACTTCTAGACCATCAACAAGGCAATGTCGCTTAGGCAGAATTCTCTGCATATAGTATCTTCTCTCCTCTCTTCCCTACCTCATTGGGAAAGACCTTAGATTAAACCACATGGTTTGGTCTAGAGACTGAAGGGGAGGTGCAATTGATGTTATTTTCTTAACTTATGAGAACAGTGCAGTTTAATAACCAAAATTCCCATAGTGAGGGTCACAGCTAAATGATGCTAATATCAGTTCACAAGTTGTGTTTTTGCAATGGCTTAGGGTTAAAAGGGAAGGTATGAGGCTTCTAAAAGTCTTATCTGTTTCCCCCAAATTAACACTTAGCCAAAAGGGGTGGGAGAACTCGAGGTTCTCACTACCACTGGCATCTCCTGCAGCAACTGTGGATGGTAAAGACCAAGGCAGAGCTTTCTGCCCTGGGCCTGAGGCTGCTGGTTTGTGACACCCAGCCTAATGATACTGGAACAGTCAATGGCCTGGCTTATGTGGGTGGAAGAGCTCTTCCAGGACCTATTCCAGAATCCAACAGGAATAGGATTTGCATCAGATATCTGCAGGTCTACATAGAGCAAAAACTGGGGGAAATGCTCTCATCCACACTTCGTCTCTGAGTGCAAAAAGTATGGGTGGTCTTAGAAACGTGGCTTTGTGTAGAGCTCTTTGAGGGTGGGCACCAATCTGATTTGTCTTTTCCCATTGAACAGATGTCTGTGAAAAAATTATTGGAGGAAAGGAAGTAACTCCTCATTCAAGACCCTACATGGTCCTACTTCAGCTTAACAAAAACAACATCTGTGGCGGGGCTTTGATTGAAAAAGACTGGGTGTTGACTGCAGCTCACTGTAACTTGTAAGTGCCTGAGTTTTTTAAAAAAATGTTTGTGAAGATACTCTAATTTGGGGAAGCATTAATAAAAAGAGTAGGCTGGGCGTATTGGCTCACGCCTGTAATTCCAACACTTTGGGAGGCTGAGGCAGGTGGACCACACGAGGTCAGGAGTTCAAGGCTAGCCTGGCCAACATGGTGAAATGCTGTCTCTACTATACAAAATTAGCCAGGCATGGTGACACATGCCTATAATCTCAGCTACTTTGGAGGCTGAGGCAGGAGAATTGTTTGAACCTGGGAGGCGGAGGTTGCAGTGAGCCAAGATTATATCACTGCACATCAGCCTGGGTGACAAGAGTGAGACTCCATCTCAAAATAAAATAAGAGTAGATCCCATTAAAGCCAATGGAGATTCACATGTATTTTCACATCATTTAAGTCTTTGAGCACTTGCTTTAGCCTAAAAGGATGTTAAGCCCAGACTTGCCACAAAGAATCAGGCTATGAGGTAGCAGCAACCACAAGCTCTTTCTGTGGTCTAGGTCTCCACTGAGCCACTGGGTACAGGTGCTGCAGAGCTTTGCTTCTGTCATGACTGTGTGCAGGTCGAATTAGCTTCAGCGTGGAAGGGTGAAACTTTCAGTGCCCCCTCAGAGCCCTGGGTGCAACCTTCAAGTACAGGAAGCTTGTGTCCAACGCCTTCCTGTATCTCTCTGTGAATTCCTCTCACATCTTCGGTCGTCTCTATGCTCCTGTCAACCACGACATTCAAACCTCTTCCCAGGTCTGGTCTTTTCCCACTCTCTACATGTAGCTATGTAAATTCAAATCAATTAAAGTTAAATAAAATCTTAAATTTAGTTCCTCAATCACACTAGTCACATTTCAAGTCCTCAGTAGCCACATGTAGCTAGTGCAGATTCATAGAACATTTAATCAGTGACCCCTGAGCAGTGTTCTCTGTGCTGAGTGGCGGGACTGAGCTGCTGAGTTAGAGCCAACATGAGTGAGTGACAAGGTGCAGGGGCAACCAATGGAAAAGAAAAGACATCTGGTGAAAATGATGGACAGAAGAAAGTTCAAGAGGAATTTGACATTGACATGGATGCACCAGAGATAGAACGTGCAGTGGTGGCCATTCAGTCTCGGTTCAGAAAATTCCAGAAGAAAAAGGCTGGGTCTCAGTCCTAGCGGGAGAGCCCCCTCCTAGTCCACCTGACAACACCAAACTCAACCATCATCTGTCAAGAAATTAAAAGAACAATACTCTAGAGAGAAGTCATCCACACACAATCCACACACACACAGCAAACCTCCAATGCATGTACAGAAACCTGTGATATTTATACCCTTGTAGGAAGGTATAGACAATGGAACTGTGAGTAGCCTAATCTCTATGTTTCTCTCCATTTTCATTCCTCCTGCAACTATTTTCCTCGATGTTGTAATAAAATGAAGTTGAGATGAGTGAAAAAAAAAAAGAACATTTAATCATCAAAATATGCTCTGCTGGAAAGCACTGTTCTAAGGTCTTTTTCTTTTATTTTTTAATTATTTACTTTTTATTGACATATAATAGTTGCACATATGTTGGGGGTACATGTGATAGTTTAAGGGAGACTAATCTCAGCTGATGAGAAAAGAGGCAGTGTACACAATCTGGTTAGTGTAGTTTACGCTAGGTTGTGAATGATGATAGCCTTAATCATCAGTACATCAGAAAGCATTTTGATTTTGATAACCAAAATGAACCTTTAAGAGTAAAAAAAGGCTCCTGGACCCTTCCTTCAGATCACCATCCCTTCAACACACTCAATGCCATGCAAATAGGTTCCTCCATGCGGCAATCTGTCTTCCCGTTTGAGTTTGTTGTTTTCTTTAAACGATCCCTTCAATGCTTTACTTTACAACTATTGGCTACTTTTTGCTTCTGTCTCTGGACTAGTGAGGTCTTTGCTTTCCAGCAATTCTTCATCACAGCTAAATAAAATAGGGGTAGAGGGGCAGACAAGCACAAGACTTGGCTTTGCTGCCATGGAATTCTCTTATTTGTTTTCCAATGAACCTAGTTTAGCTTTTTATAAATAAGCTGGTGACGATGATGAAGATGAATTCATAAACATTCTTTTATTCATAAACATTATTTTATTCTTTAAAGCATACATTTTCTTTCTGAGTCACAAAGAAGTCTCCTCACCTCCATATTTACAAATGGGACAGTGAAACGGATCAGCACATATGCTCAACTGCTAATACAAAGAATAAATCCAGTAAATAATGTTGTATCTGTTTTCAGGAGCAAAAGGTCCCAGGTCATTCTTGGGGCTCACTCAATAACCAAGAAAGAGCCAGAAAAACAGATAATGCTTGTTAAGAAAGTGGTTTCCTATCCATGCTATGATTCAACCACACACAAAGGTGATCTTCAACTAGTACAGGTACGTATCTTTGACTGCCTTCTCCAAAGTCATAGAACCTCCTACAACCTGGCCACCGATGTGAAAACCTTTCCTTGTACCCCTTTTGTAAAAACTTACATAAAAGGGATCCTGAAAATTTGGACTAGAATTTAAGTTAAAATGTACATATTTATCTTATCCTATTAACACTTTATTTTTCTTCCAACAGCTGATGAAAAAAGCAACAATTAACAAATATGTGACTACCCTTCATCTACCTAAAAAGGGGGATGACGTGAAACCAGGAACCATGTGCCAAGTTGCAGGGTGGGGGAAGATTAAGAGTATGTCATCTCGGTCCGATACTCTGAGAGAAGTCAATATCACCATCATAGACAGAAAAATCTGCAATGATCCAAAGCACTATAATTCTAACCCTGTAATTGGAAAAAATATGATTTGTGCTGGAAGCCACCGAGGTGAGAAAGACACGTGCAATGTAAGTAAAATAAGGTCCCACATTTTAGCTATTAAAGTATAGAAAATGTAATGTCATGCTTTGTCTCGTCATGGCACTGGCTTCTACAGGATCCTAGTGCTTTTTGAAATAAGTTTAATAAAACCCAGTCAAGTAAATGAATGTGCTCAGCTCAAGTGAGTCATTAATCAAAATTAAGTAGTTCACTGCTAGTGCATGGATTGACCTACTATGTATTTTTGATTTTATACAAAAATTACCAAGAAGCAATGTTTTGTCTCATTCTTCATATTAACATATGTAGATCTAATGTTGAAGATATGCAACACTTACAAGAGCTGAAGTCAAGGTTTCTCAAGGGCATTCAGTGTTCTTTCCCCATTTCAGTACATTCCCTCTTCTTCCCCACCACATTCCTCTGCCATTTAACTCAGGCACATCTGACATGTCTGTCATTTACGAGCCTGGCTGAAGACCTCGAGCCAGACCCCATAGTTTCCTAGAGCTTAGTTTAATCCCCAGCAAACAACTTCAAAGCATAACTCACACCAGAGAATGTGTAAGCTTCCATCCTAGAGCCCCCTGAGAAGGGGTGGAACAGGGCCATGCTTAAAGACGAGAATAGAAGAAACATTTTACAGATTTTTAAACTGAGTACTAGCTTGCACTTCTCATTTGTCCCAAAGACCCTATAGAGTCTTACCTGAACAGGGGTGTGCCGTATGCATTGTTTGGGAGGTACCAGAGATTGAGAAATCCAAAGGTCTCTCCTTCTCTAGATCTATGTCTTGCCTTCAGAACCAAAGCTAGCCAAATCCCAGGAAAAGACAACATCTGTCTTTAGTACCTGTCTACTTTCTCTTCTCTGCCCTAGTTCACCCATTCCCTCCCTTGTCCACCACCCTGGATCCCAGGAACCCAGAACCTTCATGTTTTTGGAACCCACATGCAGCATCCTAAGGCCACGGCAGCATCCCAAGACACTAGTCCCCATCTCAGCAGCCACCCGCCACCACTGAAGCTTGGCAATCCTTCCCTGTCCTCTCAAAACCCTGGAATTTTGCTATTGATGAATTAAACCTAAAGGACTAGTTCTGCAAATGCCACTTACTATAACAGGCAGGGGATATATTCCTGTTCAGGGAATATTTTCAACATAGTGAATTTAGTAGATTGTTATCAGCCCAGTCACTTCTTTATTTTATATATTCATAAGGCCAACTTTTGCCTGAAAGGGACTGATTTGGTTTCGTTTCTTTGAGAAGGCAATTGTCTACTGGAAGAACCAGAAAACATGGTTTTTATTCTTTGCCTCAATGTACCATCTGCATTTGACTATTTTGCGCCTTGAGTTATTAAGCATTTTAAGAAAATGACAAATAAACAGAAGACTTTCCTTTCCAAAAGCAGAACAACAGTCTCAAAAATTAGCTGATAACATATATAAGTTTCATTTCCATTTTCACTGGCTCATAAATAAACCAAGTGAACCAATTCAAAAGTATTATAATATTTCCAAACATTTTAATTTTTAAGCACTATCTTCAATTAAGGCCAGGTTGGTCTTAACTCCATATTAAATACTGCAGAATTTCTTCCATTTCACTAGTGGTAATGCTCAATACTGACCCCACTCCCCAACCCTCTTGTTTTCCACCAGGGAGATTCTGGAAGCCCTTTGTTGTGCGGGGGTGTTTTCCGAGGTGTCACTTCCTTTGGCCCTGTGAAATGTGGACACCCTCAAAGGCCTGGTGTCTATATTCTTCTCTCACAGAAATATCTCAACTGGATAATTGGGACTATCAAGGGGGCAGTTTAAATGACTGTTTCATTTACTGTGGCTTCTTAATCTTTTCGCAAATAAAATCAATTTGCATGACCGTACCTGTCTCTCTCCTGTAACCTTAGTGGGCAGATCTGCACCAGCAAAGTGAAGCAGAGTTACATGGCAACCTTGTAGATAATGCAAGGGGGAGGGATTAGGTGATTAGTGTCACAAGAGTCATTTGTGTGTCAAGTGACATGGGAATGCTTCCTGAATTATTCATCTCATTATCTCAGTGGAATCCTGCAAGAATGACCCCCTAAGATCAGATCTAATAAAAAATGCAGTAAAGGGCAACAGAAACAGCCAGTCTGGAACATATGTGTTAAAAGGAAATATAGGGCTCCACATTAGCACCTGCATTTCATGTTATACACAAGAACCTGAGTCTATGGGACAAAAAGCAACAAGCAATGCCTTACATTATTTTCCAAATTCTAGGGCATACATATAATTTTCCTGGGCAGTCAAGAAAATTATACAATAGAAAGTCAGCCTTCTTTCTCAGTGCCTGCATTTAAGCCTTGGATTACCTATGTGATTTCTCAGTTCTCTTTGTTCTTGAGACTGGGCAGATCCAATCAACACGGTGGTTACAGTGGCTGCCATCCCATAGTAGGGAGTAAATGTTGACTTGTGTCCAGAAAGTTTTCTTTGGAAAAAGCCCTCATAGTATCTTTTCTACATGAATTTGGTAGATAGTTATCAGCCTGCAATCACTTCAAGATGTGATAATGTGAACAAATTCTTTCAATTTCTATAGTCCCTTTAGTAATATAAATTTTATATATGTATATTATTTATTATACGATACAAATTTCAATATATACATATATTACATATGTATATATATGCATACACACACACACATATATACACATATACACGCACATATATACATGCATAATACATATTCAAACCAATAACATACAGCAACACTGGGAGACAGGTTCTTAAAACAAAGTAAGGAGCATAGCTTAAAGACTGGCTAAAATAATAGTCCCTTGGTTTTCAACCATGCTAGTTCATTAGGCTCACCAAGCTCTTTAAAATTATCTATGCCCAGGTCCCACCTCTAGAGATCCGGATTTAATTGTCATTTGGTGGGACCCACGATGTGGTATTCTTTATATGAGTTCCCCCAATGATTTCATATGCAGCCAGGGATAAGAACCCTTATTCTAGAAAAGGAGACCAGGTGCAACTACATAAAAAGAGGCTCTGAGAGAGTAACTACAATAATGTTTTAAATACTTGCTACGATCCCTCATTGTTAGTTCAGATTTTAACTGCAAAAAGGATGGACTATTCCCTACCGTCAATATGTATTACAGATTTTCAACTCTGTTTAAAAAGTGGTTGTATGGAACCCTCATTGATTGCTGGTAGAAGTGTAAACTAGTACAACTTCATAGGAAAATTGGCAGTGTCTATTAAAACTCAACATGTATATAAACCTATGACCCAGCAATTCCACTCCTGGGTAGATCCGAAACAGATATGAGCACTTTTATCCATTAAAGATATGTTCGGAAATGTACATAACAGTTTTATTTTTGGAACTCAAAACTAGAAATAACTCAAATATCCACACAATAAAATGGATAAACAACTGTTATGCAGTCATACAATAAAATATTACACAGCAATGAAAAAAGAGCTACTTCAGTTAGATGCAACACAAATTTAATGTTGAGGAAAAGTGAGATAAAAAAGAATATGCATGATGTGATTCCATTTATCTGAAAGTTAGCATATGGAAAAACTAATCCACGGAGATAGCAGTCAGAGGAATGTAGACCTGAGCAGGGCGCGGTGCCTCACACCTGTAATCCCAGCACTTTAGGAGTCCGAGGCAGGTGGATCACAAGGTCAGGAGTTCGAGACCAGCCTAAACAATAAGGTGAAACCCCCATCTCTACTAAAACTACAAAAAATTAGCCGGGCATGGTGGCATGCCTGTAATCCCAGCTACTCAGGAAGCTGAGGCAGGAGAATTAGGAGAATTGATTGAACCTAGGAGGCGGAGGTTGCAGTGAGCCGAGATTGTGCCACTGCACTTTAGCCTGGGTGATAGAGCAAGGCTCCATCTCAAAAAAAAAAAAAAAAAAGAAAGAAAGAAAAAGAAAAAGAAAAATGTAGACCTGCTAAGTAGAAATAGGCACAAGGAATCCCTTTAGGTACTAGAGATGTTCGTATCTTGATCTAGATGGTGGTTACACAGTTATTTATTCATAAATTTAAAACTCATCAAGCTATAAACTTAAGACTTATGTGCTTTACTATATGTGAATTATTACTCAAAAAAATTTTTAATTATAAAATTTAAAAATAAGTTGTAGCCCAGGCTTTTGTTTTGTATGTTACCTGAAAGCTTACCTTTTTCTCTATGAAAACCATATTCCAAACTTTCCAACGAATCTAATTGTAGTAACAGATATATTAATATTTTTCTTAAATGAGAGCCTCTTGCTCACATGCCAGTATTAATTGAGAGAAGTGGCCTTTGGTCATGACACAGTGTCATGAGAATATTAAAACAGAAGTATCCAGAACAGAATGACATGGGACACTGGGAATGATCTAATCATTTCGCTCATTTTCTTCTAAATATTTTCTTACAGTTTATGCCTGGCTTATTAAGAAGATCAAATTAAAACCATTAAAGAAGAGTGTGCATTGCAGAAAAGTATCACATCTGTGGCTTTCAGTGGCCTAAAATTTTCTAAGGCAAGAATTACTAACATTACCAAACAGATCTAAATTTTAAAAACAGAGAAAATTTAAAAATATATTGACAAATTAACACCAACTTAACAGAAAAGTCCAAAACTGCCCTGGTACATACTAGTCTATGTTTGAATTCTCAAAATTTTTGTTTTGTTGTATCAATTTTGGGGGCATAGGGAGTGGTTATGTATTAGTTAAAAAAAAAAATCATGTCAAAGCAAAAAAAAATAATCAACTAATATTTGTTATCTGGCATATGCAGAACATTCTAAAGAGCACCAAAAAGTACAACACATGCTCCCTCAAGCCCTCAATTTTAACTCCTCAGGATGTTAAAACCAAAATAACCAAAGATTCAAATAGTAATAAAAGATTTTTTTAAACAACTATAATAGTTTAATAATACTAAATAGATGACATAGACAAATGCCAAGAACTCAAACCCGGGTAACATCATTTTGAAACACTTCCTGGAGAGGTTAGGACTTATGTGGGTGTGTAAAGGAAAAGGAGAGAGAAGCAAGGATTCAGATGAGAAGAAAAGCTCCAATGAGGCAAGAAATCACAAGACTCAGCCAAAGTCTTCATATAGTGATCAGTTCGAAGGAACCTTAGCAGTGATCAGATCCAAATTCCTATCTTTGCAGACGCTGCACATATCCAAGGTTACAGGGTATATTTATGGCAGAGCGAAGGCAAGAACAGGTCTCCTAACTTCAGGTCCTGGGCTCTGGACTCCAGAAGCCAAGGGTGTTGTTTGGTAACAGGGTGTCAATGAGAGCTTATGAGCAAGGGACTAAGAGGATCGTGCAGGACTTTAAGATATTTAATCTAGCAGTGGTGTGGAGTCAGGAGGAGAGTCAAGAGAATCAGCTCTAAGCAGACTGGCTGTCAGGCACTCAGGATGTGACTAAGTGAAGCAAAAGAAGAAAGTGCAAAGGGTGAACTGAGGAAGCACAGAGCAGAATAATCAGGAGGATCCCTCAGTGGGGTACCAGGACAAGGATGAGACCATCAGGAGGGGAAAGGAATTCCTAGAGAACTGATTTTTAGAGAAAGTAATATGTATGCTTAACATACCATCTAGCATACAGTGAGATTTTAATAAATGTTTTTTAAGGGAACGAGTTGTGTTTTCAATGTGTTGAGATTAAGCTAAAAAGAGGAAAGAATGTCAAAAGGGAACTATCCCGAGGCAATCAGAAATATGAGGTTTGGAGCTGGGGAGAAAAGTCAGATGGGAAAGAAGTAGAAATCTTTGCTGTAGGTGTTATTTTGAATAAAGTAGTGAAAATGAATCTCTAGAAAGGGGTAAGAAGGGGAGGAAGGGAGCAGAAAGAGGAAAGCAGAGAAGAAAAGAAGTCAATCTCTGCGAAGCAGAGCAAATAAAGCAATCTAAGAAAGAAGAACAGAGAATAGGCATTCACATCAAGAAGAATATTTCAACTTGTTTGATACTCATAAAAACCCCATGGAGAAGGCATGGCCAACATCATCATCTTCACTAGAAATGAGGAAACTGAAATCTAGAGGGGCTGGGTGCTAGCAGCAACTCCATACAGAGGCCGTCCCATCAGCTGCAGCAGAAAACACCCGGGTCTGGTCTGGACTCAAAGCCAGGTGCAGCACTCTGCCCCTGTGGCCTGGGGGGAAAAGGAAAGACAGTTCATACTCCATGTTACATGGACTGCTGCTCAGGACTGCAGGCAATGTAAGGTGGGACCATGAGTCCCATCTCAGGATAAAGGACTTTCCTATACCCACCAGGTTCAGAGCTGGCACCAACTGAGCCATGCTGGGAGACAGTAGTTAGGGCTGACTGGGACAGTTTTCTCCCTCAGTGCTCTTGCCCCTGTATCAGTGTCCTGTGGCTGCCATAACAAATTACCACCAAAGGGATGGCTTAAAACAACAGAAATTGATTCTTACAATTCTGGAGATGGGAATTCTGAAACCATGGGGTCACAGGCACTGTGCTCTTGGGGGGATTCTGTGCCTTGCAGCTATTGGCAGTCCTGGATTTGTGGCCACATCACTCCAGACTCTGCCTCTGTGGCCATGTCACCTCCTCTTCTGTGTGTCTCTTCTCCTCTGTGTGTCTCTCCTCCTCTGTGTGTCTCTCACAAGGATACTTGTCATTGGATTTAGGCCCACTGGATAATCCAGGATGATTTTATGGCAAGATACTTAATGACATCTCCAAATGCAATTTTTCCAAATAGGTCCCATTCTGAGGTTCCAGAGAGTTAGCATGGATGTTCTTTAGATCATTTATCAACTGTTGTTAGTTCTGTCTTCTCTAATATTCCTAAGAATGCCAGTACTATGC